CTCCTCCGGGTGCTGATGCTCCCCCTGAAACCTGCTACACTTCCTCCTGACTGTGGCATCCGCATAGCTAGGCTTTTTTTTTTTCATGGAAACAATTTTCCAGTTGTGGGTGGAGTTTGGGAAAATCAAGTTGATTCCTCATGTCTGTTGGAAAGCCATACTTGCCCACCTCTCCTTCAAGAACTTTCACTCCCCTGAGCTTGTCTGGGGCTGGGTTCTCAGTGGAGGGCTGCCAGTGAGTTGTACTTCTGTCTCCTGTCACCAAGGACTCACGCCCCCGGCCCTGTCTTCACCTGTTGTGATCTAGGGAACACAAATGTCTTTGAATTTAACCAGTGACTAAAGCTGTGTTTTGTATGTTGTTTTGTTTGGAGGATTTTTTTTTGAGGGAAGGACAAAGGAAACCCAAAATGTTTGTCCCAGCACCTTGAGTCAGATGCCTTATTTGACCTCTTAAGTAGATCCTGTTAGCTGGTGTTGTTGTTATAGACCTTCAGCCACATTTAATCTTCACAGAACAGAGTCTGGTAGGTGCCTTGCAAGTGTCTCATATAACTGCAATGCCTTGAGGAAACTGTGTTAGTTCTCAATCTATTTGCTGTCATAGTAGAAAGAATCGCGTCACGTTAATGGTGCTTTTCAGATTCACTTAACTTTGAAGGAACCAAATCTTTTATTTTACCAACTTCTTACTGAAAGTTTTCCAAAATGTAGCAAGTATTTCCCTAACTTCTTTATTTTTTAGTTTGCTTTCTAAAATTATGTTTACTTGTTAATGCACCGAGAGGTAAACACAAGTCAGAGGACGACTTGAAGGAGTCAGTTTTCTCCCTCCACCATGTGGGTTCTGGGATTTGAACTTGGGTCTTTGGATTTTATGGCAAGTGCCTTCATCCCCTCAGCCCTCTTGTCAGCTGTTCTGACTGTAGGGTTAGGGATGAACGTTCTCATTTTCTGGTTTCTCAGAGGTACTTCACTAATGCTGTTTATTACCCTGTGGAACAATTTGGTGACCTCTCTGGATGCTTGCTTTTTAAGTTCCTAATTGATTTTGCAGAGATGGGTATAATTTCACAGTGAGTCATCTCCACCAGCCAGAACCCCCTTCCCCCAACACTGCCCTATTTAATTGACTGGCTACTGTGTCTAGAATGAACTGAGACTGGCAGCATAAGCAGTATGTCTAGGCTGGTAAAGCCAGGAGCCTTAAATGCAGTTCCACGCCCTGGTCAGCTGATGCTGGGGAGGAGCATGCAGACAGCCCTCCAGTGTAGACATCCAAGCCAGCACACCACTCAATGCTCATGGGCCTCACCTTAGACCAGAGTCCAAGGCCTGTGGCTTCCCTTAGCCAGGCAGCTCTTCGTGAAGTAGTTGTCCTGTGCATTGCAGGTGTTGAGCAACATCCTTTCTCTAGATGTGGCAGCCCCCAGTGACACCAGACAAGGCCACATTATCCTCAGAAGGGTAGTGTGGTTGTCGGTTGAGATCCTTAGGTCGCCAGTCTCCTTTCTTCTGAGTTCATAGCCATTTCCTGGATATTTTAAGTAATATGTGATTTTGCAGTGAACTGCGTGAGTGACATAATTTCCTGGATCTTGTCAAATGTGAAATAATTCATTAGGCACTCACATTTCTACCTGTTGTCAGTGCTAGCCAGCCAAAATTTTCCTGCTTTAAATATTCTGACAACTAACATTTATGGAGCACTGTTTTTGCTTTGCTGTATGTGCATGTGCGTGCGTGCGTGCGTGCGTGCGTGTGTGTGTGTGTGTGTGTGTGTGTGTGTGTGTGTGTGGAGAGACTGGTGGTTAAGTGTGTGGATGTCTTCCTCTACCACTCTCCACTATCTTATGTTTTAAGACAGGGACTCTCACTGAACCCAGAGCATTTACTAATCTGCTAGAAGGGTTGGCCATTGTTTCCCATGGCTCTGCCTGTCTCTACCTCTACCCTAAGTTCTAGAGTTACAGGCTAATACACTATGAGCAGCTTTTATGTGTCTGCTGGAGATGGAACTCAGGTCCGTACACTTTACCTACTGAGTCATTTCCTCATACCCAAGTGAGCATTCATTGTTTGAAGCCACACTTGGTGATGGGCATTGATGGAAAAAGGATAATGGCCCCCACATTGACAGCTACCTGAAAACCAAGGCCCAAAGCATCTATGCAAATCCTGGAGTGTCATCTGGAACTCAGGGCCTGTGGTGCATCCTTGGAGGATGCTCTCTACCAGCATCTGTGTGGTGGCTGTCACTGTGTTGCCATGTGTGGACGTCAATCTTCAGTCTGCTGTAGTACTTGGGGATGAGGTACCCACACCTTTCACCTTTTATACTTGCTGCTTAGCAGAGGTTCACTGAAGGTTTGTGTTATTAGATGAATGGAAATCTAAAGGGCAGTCTCCAGTGCTTTTACCAGAACAGGGGAACCACAACAAAAACATAAGTGCATGTTCTAGTTTCTTGAGAGGGCACAAGTTGTGACATTTTAGGTCATTAATGTGCTGCAAATCTCTGTCATTAGGAGGATAATTGCCTTCTACTGCAGAGAGGAAGTGGCTGTATAATTATAGCCCGAGGGGCTGGCATCTCGCCTCCCTGCTGTCTGTCAGCACTAGAAACTGAGATGCTGTGCAGCAGACAGCAGGTTTCTTAATGATTAACCAACATCAGTACCTGGAAGCCACTGGAAACACAGTGAAGTGCAAACTTTTCCTGATGATTTTAGGAAACAGGTCCCACAGAGCTACCACCATCACAGATTATCACCTGACCATGACATCTTGGTTGGTTTAAAGCTTGTTTTCTGAGGAGTATTGACTAGGAGGTTCTGAAACTCACCTTCTCTTGAGATGGTGGTGCTTGTTGAAGACAGTGTGTTGTCCACACTACCATTTGCCTCAAATGTCATTGAGGGTGGTGTCAGAACCCACTAGGGATGTGTGGGCCAGGTTTGGTGCTGGTAAAAGGCTGCCATGGTGGATGGTTTTGTCAGCTTGTCACAAACCTAGACATATCTGGAAAGAGGGGATCTTAATGGAGATAATGCCTTTATGAGAGTGCCCTGTAGGCAAGTCTCTAAGGCATTTTCTTTTTAATGATGTAGAAGGGCCCAGCCTGCTGAGGGTGATGCCAACATGGGAAGGTGGGAGTGAATGGTGTAACCATTTGGACTGAGCAAGCTACGAGGAGCAAGCCATTAAGCAGCACCCTCCATGGTCTCTGCTTCAGTTCCTGCATCCAGGTTCATGCCTTGGCTTCCTGTCCTGATTTCTCTCAGTGATGGAGTGCAATCCCAGAGATGTATGCTGAAATAAACCCTTTTCTGCCCAAGTTGCTTTTGGTAGTGGTCTTTTTTCATAGGAAAAGAAACCTAACTAAGACAGCATATTAGCTCATGTTGTGATTGGCATAGGGTTTTGCTAATGGGACTTTTGGCCAAATTGTATACATAGCTATACCCTGAACTTCATATTTTGTTGCTCATGAGAAGCCAGGCTGTCCCAAAAAGTTCACTAAAAAGTACTCAAAGTTAAAGAGGGTGGGAACAAATGATGAAATGACCTGTTATTCTCTTTAAAAGATCTATTTGTATTTGTGTGTGTGTGTGTGTGTGTGTGTATGTGTGTGTGTGTAGGTAATGTGCACATGGGTGTAGGTGCCTGTGGAAGCCAGAAGAAGGCATCAGATCCTTCACAGCTGGAGTTACAGGCAGCTGTGTTGTGAACTGCCTGACAGGGCTGTGGGAATCCAATTATGGTCCTGTGCAAGAGCATCCAGTGCTTATAACCACTGAGCTGTTTCTTCAGCCCAGATGACCTGACATTCTAAGATTCATACTTTCTTTTATCTGGCTATAATCATGCAAAGTAGGTCAGGGAAAAATAAAACAAAATTCTTGCAGGCTGAGTCTTAGTAAACTGGAAGGCTTCACTTGACTTCAATGTCCTTAATTAAAACAATTTTAAATTATGTCAAGGAATTATCTCTTTAGATGGTGAGATTATAGGGATAATTTCAGAGCAGAAGTTTGACCTACCTTGGAAATGTAAATACAAAATGCTTTATCCATACTCACATCAAACACACAATAGTACTAGTGAACATATTGAACAAGTTAAGCAGTCATAGATACTCACTAACTGGTGCTTATACACTTTGGAGCCAGCTCTATGCTGCTCTTGTCCTTGGGGATTCTCTGTATGATATCAGGCACTCAGTTGAACTGTCCTTAAATGCTCCCATGGCAGTTTGCTCCGAGACCCTGAATAGCACCTGCCTCCTTGCGCTCCAGTTCTTATTGCTGTCTATTTCTTGCTGCCTGGGTGGTGAGGTTCCCCAGCACCTGGTGTGTGGGTGAGTGGATGAACTACTTTTCTCATTGCTGGGATGAAACACCTGACTAAAGCAACTTAAAGAAGGCGTTTACTTTGTCCCACAGTTTGAGGGTTCAGTCCCTCAAGGTAGGAAGGCCATGGTATCGGGAGTGGGAAGCATTGTGCCCACGGCTAGGAAGAAGAGAGTGATAAATATTGGTGTTCTATACTTTTTCCTTTTCATTCAGTCTAGGGCCCTAGCCCAGAAATGGCACTGCGCCCACATTGAGGGTGAATCTTCCAACCCCAACTAACCCAATCTAGAAACTGCCATCACAGTCACGACCAGAATTTTGTCTAATAGTTGATTCTAGATTTTTTCAACCTGACGATCAGTGTTTCCCACCATCATGCTGGATACATTAGAACTCATTAAATTCATTAGTCTTTCATATTGGCCAAGAAGAAGACGTGCTATACTGTGATAATTACAACTTGTTCATAATGGGCCACTCCCTCCCATGGTTTAGAATAAGGAGTTCCTGGTGCAGTGGCTTTTCTTCTTTCCCTTCCTTGTGTCCTTCTCTTGTCCTCTCTTCCTTCCTCTCAGTCCCAAGAAAAGGTCTGTCTCAGGCATCTTCAACCCAAGGTCTTTCTGAACACCCCTTTCTTCTTTCCAGGCAGGCATTAATGAAAACGACTTTTATGATGGGGCTTGGTGTGCTGGCAGGAACGATCTCCAGCAGTGGATTGAAGTGGATGCCCGTCGCCTGACCAGGTTCACAGGGGTCATCACCCAAGGAAGGAACTCTCTCTGGCTGTAAGTGGGTCTGGACCTGTGCCTGACAGGCTCTGTCTTCCACCTTTCACTTGAAGGGAAACTGCAGAGCAGCATCTGATGAAGGATGACTGCAAGGTGACCAAGGCTGAAAGCACATTTCCCCCTGTGCCGTGTCCACTGGAAATGGAGGATGGAGTGGGCATAGATAAACCTTCGAGGCAGGTGACTGCTACTTTGGACCCTGACATGAGATTGGTATCTAGACAAGTGGGTTAAACTCAGCCTGAGGTACAAATTCTCAGCAATCTATGAGCATATGGTCTTGGGAGAAGAGAGCAAGAACCATCTAGACCCTGGGAGAACGACTAGAAGCCTTGGCAGGTGCCCAAACAAATTGTCACTTGAGATGTGTTATAAGTAACAGATGAACCTGGGGATGAAACCACTTCTCAGACTTAAACTTGGGATTAAAGTTGTGATAGTAAGAAGGATGGTCTGACGGCGATCCCAAGAGATGGCAATAACCTCTTAAAACCTGCCACCTTGGATAGGGATGTAGCTTAGTTGGTAGAGTGTGTGGTTATCATGCATGGATCCTTGGGTTCCACCCCCAGCATAAAACTGGGAGAAATAATGCACTCCTGTAATCTCAACAGCAGGGAGGTACAAGTAGGTGGATAAGTTCAAGGCCAGCTTTAGTTCCTGTATTAGTTACCAACAAGACCAAGTTTATTTGGGTTTACAGATACAGAGAGAGAAGAGCGCATCATGGCTGGGAGACAGCAGGCATGGCAAATGGAGAATCAAGCTGAGAGCTCATATCTTGAACCACCGCAGAGAGAGTGAAGTGGGAATGGTATGAGGCTTTGAAACTTCAAATTCAGTGCCTAGTGTTGTACTTGCTCCAGCACAAGGCCACATCTCCTAGACCTCTACAAGCAGCACCACCTACTGGGACCTATGTTCAAATGCTAGAGCGTACAGAGTGGGGAGTGGACATTCTCATTCAAACCACCACAGCTGAATAAAGAGTTCAAGGTCAAGTTGAGCTACATGAGACCCTGTCTCTAAACAGAACAAACCAGAGCAGAAGAGAATAGAATAGAAGGGAAGACTTATCTTTCTATTATGGGACACTACTCTGCTTAAAGAGGAAAGGAATTCTGGCACATGTTGTATGTGAATGAACCTTGGGGACATGATGCTAAATGCAATTAAGAACATCACAAAAGGGTAGATACCAGATGATTCTGCTCACACAAGGACCTAGAGTAATCAGATTAATAGAGATGGAAAATAGGATGGTGATTGCTAGACACTGGGAGGAGGGTGAGGGAGAGTTAATATTTGTAAGTAAAGAGCTAGAATGCAGAATGATGGTGGTGATGATGGTAAGCCAGGGCATGTGGACTAGAGTCACAGGCATGTACACTAATCAAGGCAGTATGAGGAATCCTGTGGCATGGAGATTTTGTGAAAATAAGTATGCATTTCTCCTTATTATAAATACAATACTGTAACATCTAGAAGCATCAACACGCATACACATGCAGATACACTCCCAGGCGTGTGCATGTGAAAAATTTACCCTCCTTACCTCAGGGTGGTTATGAAAATGAGTGGCTCTGACCATGGGTCCTATGCATGCAGAAATGGGGCCTCAGCAGGTCTCAGTGTGGTCAACAGGACACCAGTCATTTCTGAACATAAGTGAGAAGCCTTCAGGCTCCTCTATACTTGCCTACACCAAGAAGTCTAGGACATGAATGTCCCATGTTTCAACATTAGAAGGCTGCTTGTGTGACTCCATTAAAATTACTTCCTCAGTTGGGTCATTGGTGGTACACATCTTTAATCTTAGCGCTCGGGAGGCAGAGGCAGGCGGGTCTCTGTGAGTTCGAGGTCAGCCTGGTCTACAGAGTGAGTGCCAGGATAGTTTCCAAAGCTACACTAAGAAACTCGCAAAAAAAGCTCTTCCTCCTGATAGTTCCTGTCCCTTCACACTGCTGCAAACAAAGTTCCATCTCTTGGCAACTTTCAACATTTACCAATCATGTAAAATCAGATCTTGGCTTGCTTACAAGACTGTCAGTGTCAGTAGGGCAAGGGCCAGAAATACAGCTCCATGCTGCTGCCTATGGTAGCCTGAGGGGTTCTTTACAGGGACTTTTACTCTGGTGAAGAGAGGATTCAGGATTTTGCTGCAGAAAAAAAAATCAGGAGTCTCTGCGAAGTAGAGTTGGAGTTTATGAGAATGAAATGTAAACATAGGCTTACCACAGGGCACTCATTTAGAGAGGGACACTCAGGGAAAGGATAAGATTGGGCACGGGAGGAGGGGAGGGAATGGGAGAGGGACCTGGAACTGACTTATGAAGCAACCTCGTTTCTTATCTAAATTTAAACTGGAAAATAAAATTAAAAAAAAAAGATCCACCCAAGTGTTGGCTGTGAACTTCTCAGGAGAGAGTCACCTTCGTGTGTCTTTATAGTAGTCATAAACATTGCTTTCGTGGTTTCTGAAGTGGTTCAATTTCCAAGGATAGCCAAGGAGCTTCCATAAGACTTTAAGGTTGTTCTGGTGTACACTGGGTGATTTCATTGTATCCCAGGAAAGAAGCAAAGAGTGAAGACTACATGCTGCTGCTCAGATCCCTTTCCCCACTTTTACAGTCTAGGACCCAAGCTAGGGAATGGTGCCACCCACAGTGGGCGGGTCTTCTCATTTAATTAACACAGACGAGATAACCCCACAGGAGCATGTCCAAAGGTCCATCTTCCAGATGTCTCTAGATTATGTGAAGTTGACAATTGACACTAACCATCCCAGAGATTAATTTTAATTTTGGCAGTGGTCAATATTAATAGCTAGACTGGGACAAGACTTCACATCTGTACTCATAGTTAGCTACCTGTCCTGGTTCCTGGCTCTGTATTGTTTCTGGGGCAGACATATTTAAGGTTCTCCTTTATGGGTTTCTGTCTTTCTCAACAGTTACGAGAGCCTTGCTGATGGAGACCATGGCCTGATATTTGAACAGACACCTGCTCAATAACCAACAAATGACTCCCTAGTAAATGAACAACATTAAGTCAACAATGAGCATACTCTTGTGGGGCGACAATTGTCTGGCAGTGACTCATCTGCTTTCCTATGTATTTCTTTTCAGTGTAAAGACAACATTGTAACATCTAGTAGTATCTTAAAACATTACCCATGATCCCACACTCTTTATACCAACAGATTCTTTTAATATACTATATATCCAATTATGTTATTTTTTTACTTAATATATCCATAACATTCTCATGCTGTGACTCAGATTTCATAGTGATTATTATATTTAATGGCCCATGATTTACTCAGCCAAGGTTTGCAAAACTATCCTGATTTCTTACTACCTTTTTCATATGTAGAGAAGACTTTTGTGCTTTTTCCTTTATTTGAATTGTATTATTCAATAATTCATTATACTTCACTTCAATATTATGTATGAAATTATAAATATATCATTTTCAGAGCTGGAATAATTCATGCAGTTTGACATTTGATTTCTTTTTTTGCTATTTTGAGGATTACACTCTGCTTCCTTTGCTTTTCAGTGGCATTTATGCATATAGGCATGCGTGCCATTGTTTACTCTGTGCTGTCTTTTGCCTTCCTTAATAGCATATTGTCACATGACAGTTATTTTTACTGCTTAGATTCTGAAAGGCTTTGTGGGAGGAGGACTTGGAAGCTGGGTTGCTCAAGGGAAAATGGGAAACAGGGAAGAAAAGACTGGTGTGAGGTAATCAGTTAGGAATGAAGGGTATTGATGATCATGTCTGGCTATTAACCTGTCTGGCCACTGTCATTAGGGATGAAGATGGTGGCTTATTATAGGATTAGAAAATGAGAGTGAGGTAAGTACAGTGCTCCCATTTCGTTTGAACTGCAAACACAGGGGAGGTAGGCATGAGCAGGAAATCATGGTGGAACAAGATCTCTCTGTAGCTTAGGACAGGGCCATCTAGGTGGGGGAGGAAGCGGGAGAATTACTCCTAGGAGTCAGATTTTTCTTAATGTCTAAATGTATTTCAAGTTAAATTATTGCTCAGGGATAATGAAATGAAGAAATCTGATGAGCTCCAGTGTACCTTACCTCCTTTAATAGTTCTGTCTCCATGGAGGGCCAGGAAGAAATTGGAAGGGCTAAATGCTGTGGTATCTGAACTTTTCCCTCCCCCAGTACATGAATGATGAATGCTGAAGGCAATAGGATCTCTTGCATTGTGATTTAAAAAGTCTATATTAGACATCTTGCATACTTGCAGTAAGGATGACAGTATCTATCCCTTTCTCTTACACCTGACTCCTGGTCCATAGTGTATCTGGTGCAAACATATTTTAGATTTCTGTCTTTCTTTTCAACAGTTGCTAAGAGACTTCCTAATAGAGGCCATGCTCTGGTATTTGGAGAACCTGTCTTGAACTAGGCACCTACCTACCTATCTGATGCCCAACAAATGACTGCCTATAAAATGAATATCTTTAAATCAACAAAGGTTCATTCACTCTGGCTGGTGATGAGTTAATTGATTTGTGACTGCTAATGACTGAGAGAAGGCTTAAAATGGAATGAGGAAAAGGAGAAGAAAGTAGGAGAGAGAAGGTTGGGATACTACAGACTTCTAGAGATGGATGGTTCTTGTCCTAAAATCATGGCATGCTTCTTAGCTCCTGCTGGTTATGCAGATGCACTTCTTTGGACCTCAGTTTTCTGTCTTCTAAAATGGGTTGGTTTTCTATCCTATACAGGTATGTGTGTGTATGTGCACATGCACTGGGAATTATAAATAATTACATTAGGATACTTAAAATTTACACAGTACATAAGTACTTAGTAGGTAGGATTTCCCCCTTCCATTCTCTAGGTTTATCTAGAACAGTGTATTTCTAGTTTTATTTTTAGTCATGGGTCCTTTTCCCAAATACAATATTTATTGGAAGCATTTGGAAATGATAGGCAGGGAGACCACATTGTATGGTTCAAGGC